AATGTCGAAAAAATAAATGTCATTTATCTCATATCGACATTTACTTAAATGTCAAAAATAAATGTCATATATTTCATACCGACATTTACGTAAACGTCAAAAATAAATGTCATATATCTCATACCAACATTTACCTAATTATCGAAAATAAATGTCATATATATCTCATATCGACATTTACCTAAATGTCATATATCTCATACTGACATTTACCTAAATGTCAAAAATAAATGTCATATATCTCATACTGACATTCACCTAAATGTCAAAAATAAATGTCATATTTCTTATCGACATTCATATATATGTCAACAAATAAATGTCGTAATAATCTTACCAACATTTACATGTATGTTGCAAAGTAAATGACGCAAATTCTTTCAACATTTACCTAAATGTCACAAAATCTTCCCGACAATTACCTAAATGTCGAAAAAATCCCCGACACTAAAATTTACGACATTTGGTCCAAATGTAAAATAAATGTCGGTAAACAAATTTGTGACATTTAAACATCATAATACGACATTTAGAAAATGTCGTTGTATCTCCACTTTCTTGTAGTGATAACAAAAACATAATAATCCTGCATATTATTTAAACCAACAAAACAACTAAGATATACAATTCTATATCATATATTGTACAATTTTAATCAATATAAATTAAACATATACTAAACATAATTGCATATACAGTAAATCACTTTCAAAATTTAAAAATAAACAAAAATATAAAATAAAGATTATCAAGTACAAAAAAGTAAAGCAGCAAAAAAATAATTATTTTTCTAACATAAAATATATATAAAAACACATTGAATAACATTATCCTTTTCATGCTATCACGTTTAATGTCTTTTGTTTTCCCATCATCCACACCAGATTTCTACAAAAAAATATAACTAACCAAAATATCTTATGCATGTTTAAAATCGGAAAACAAACAATATTCAATTTATTGAAAAAAAATTGATACCTTGGACATTGTTTTCAATTTGGATTTGGTCATCTTGTTGAGACATATTTTTTTGCAATTGATATCTCGTCTTCAAAGTTGTTGTCATGAGGTACTCAACATTCATAATAATTTTTCTTTTCTTTTTTTTCATGTAAAATTGGGTGTAGCAATGTTTGATTTACACCAACTCCTTTTTGTTTACCTCTTTCAAATTCACTTTTCGGTCAAGGAGTGGAAGTATTCAACTCAAATTTGGAGTTGAACAAACAACCGGACTATTGACATCGATTTTATCCTTGATCAAACGAGGACTCTTTCGGAGAGTATTATCAAAAATGACTTTCTTGCCTATAATCATTTTTTTGAAGAAGCGGAAATATTTTCTTGTGATATGAGATAAATTTGAAAAGAAACTTAAGAGAATGAAAGTAATTTGTTACTAAATTTTTACAAGAGGTGATACAAAACCTTTCCTTGAAAAATGTGGCATTGAAAAAGATGAAAAACAAAGTGTGCAGCGTTAATTCCAAGAAAGAAGAGTGTAGCAATGTAGGTTAACAAGAGAGAGAAAGTGAGATATTTATTAAAGGAACGTATCCAAATATAATTGTGATTGAAATTTTAAAAAGTAAATAAATAAAAGGTAAAATATGAGTCCCAAAATATCAGCCTACTAACTAATAAAATAGGTGAAAACCGTGTATTTATTAATTTTGTAATAAAGTGTCATATTTGTAATTAAAATGTTAATGTTATAAATAAAAAGACTAAAATAACAATATGTAAATTAAGGTCTTAAATAGTATAGTCTTGTAATTTTTCCTACTATGTTGTGGATGCTTTTGAATTCTGGTGTATATATTAATGTCTATTTTAACATTGTTAAGTTCTTTGCATTGCAAAGTCAACAAAGTTGCATTTCTTTTATTCATTTTATATATCACACATCAACAATTTGAATGACAAACCTACAACAAAAGTAGGATACAAGGTAAAACTTCTATACAACGGTAGTGTAAAAAATAATATAAGTTTTTAAAATAATAAGTAAAGACAAAATGAAAATAAAAAATATAAAAAAAAGACAGAACGAGAAGAAAAATATCAAAGTACCGATGTAATAACACCAAATCGGTCGTTAACATAAAATGAGATATTTCATCATTACCTAATGATGAATTTAAACATAAGGAACAATTAATTTGAGTAACGATCAAAACAAACATGATATTTAAACTAAATCCATGCAATTCACTCTACTATTTTAAAAAAAGTCGCTTCTTTTTTCCGTGACATTTCCGCAACTCCTTATCACTATTTCACTTTCTATAAAATATAGTATCAATCTCCTTACTTTATATGGTAAGAGAAAGTATCTCAAAAATTTCTATGGTAAAATATTAATGACATCCGATTCAAATGGCCAAATAAGGTAAATGTTCAAAGAAGTCACTTATTTTTGTTTTGACTTCGAGAAGTCATCCAAAAGGATAATAATGGAAAGTAGCATTTAATTTTTGTCCTTAAATGTTTTTTTGGAAGTCATCCAACTGTATCTAGTCAACACGTATAGTCATTTTGGCTTGAAATAAAGTTTTCTAAATCTTGGAGACCAGTATATATATATATATATATATATATATGTGTGTGTGTGTGTGAAATTCCAACCGACCAAAACCCTCAAAACTAGCAAACCATTTTGTTCAAAGGAAGTGACAGCCATGGATGTCAAAAGCTCATCTTGCAAAAGAAGAAGAATCTCTCATGTCACGAAAATGAGGATTATGGATATTCCATGGGTGATTTTGATTGAAATTCTTTCAAGATTGTAAATTAAGCCCATTTTCCGATGTAGCACTGTGTGTAAACTTTGGTACAATCTTTTATCTTACGACCCTTTATTTGTTAACATGTATCAAACAAGATCCTGTAAATTCTCCTGCATTTATCTTCTCGATGTTGTGGGCAAGCCTTCACTTCTAGAACTCAAAGCAGAGTATAATTATTATGTTCGCCGTTGTAATAGACCCATTTAGTTGACCACTAAGTTTCACTACCCTCTAGGGAGAGTGTTTTTAGTTGGTTTGTGTAGTGGACTCACTTGCTTCGCGAATAATCCAACACATATTGAGAAGCATTCTGTTTATATTAGTAATCCTCTTTTGGGTGAGTATTTTGAACTCTAATTGCCTCAACGGGAGACAAGTGTTTGTCGTGTTACTTATGGATTTTGCTTTAGCAAAGTGTCTGAAAAGTATAAGGTATTGAGATTAGTAGTTAGAGAGATTACTAAATTATCAGAATTGGAGGTTTATACTCTTGGAGTTGGTGAGAAATGAAAAAATGTGGGTGAGATTTCGTGTCCTGTATGGCATAATTTTGGCCAGGTAATATCAATGGCTCTCTTCATTGGATGGATAGCGAAAAAAATAATACCATTTACTCCTTCAATATTAAGACAGAAAAGGTTAAGTCCCAAAAAAAGGAATTTCTTTTTCGCATTTAAACCCGTTTGCATAGGCTCGTGCACTGATTTACGTTCAATAATACCTGAAACTTGAAGCTAGTAGAGTTGGAGAATTATTTATGTTTGACTTATTATTACAACTTGTCCACTAATATTGATATCTGGTGGATGAAAGAATATGGGATTTTTGGGAAATGTTTACATCATCAATCTTTAAATACGAAGAGGATTATACTAAACGAAATGATTCCAAAAAATTCTCAAATCGAAATAGTAGTTTAGAGTATTGTTTTATCTTATTTCCTCCTAGATATGATGTTTTGCTTATGTGCTTCCAATATAAACTTTTACTATTTTATGGATCCTATTCTATTCTTGCCTTGATTTTGAAGTATTTACATGCCTTAAATTTAGGTAACTACTTGTTTTTATGATTAAATTAACAACATAACTCTTTTGATCTTTTTTAATATGAGAGAACTTGAATTCATTGGACCTCTCTAGTTAATAAAAATTAGCTTATTGTATAAATGAAATAATCTTTATGGATACTTCCTATCTAATTAATTAATTGAAATTCTCGCGAAATATAAAAATATTAGGTCATTGCTTTCTGTGTGTCCAAATCTTAATTATTGGATAGAGTTACACGTATTTGTTTGGTTGAACATAGAACGTACTCCACGAAATTAGTCGATGTATTACACGCAAGCTAGAACGAACACCACAATTATATAAAGGAGAGTATATAGGATACATTTTTACTCACCAACTAAACACTGGAGAAAGGTTTTCCAAGAAAATATAAGGACACATATTGTTTCTTCACATTTGGCTTTATTACCTAATGATGAATTTAAACATATGGTACCGTAAATTTAAGTAACAATGAAAATAAACATGATATTTAAACTAAAATTCATACAATAGACTCTGCTCTTTTAGGATAAGTCGCTTCTTTTTTGAAGACCTTTCCTCAAGTCCTTATCACTATTTCACTTTCTATGAAACATAGTATCAATCTCCTTACTTTATAAGGTAAGAGAAGGTATCTCAAATCTTTCTATGGTAAAATATTAACTTCATCTAAAAAGGTAAAATATTGATGACATCCTATTCAAATGGCTAAATAAGGTAAGTGTTCAAAGAAGTCACTGTTTTTTTGACTTTGAGAAGTCATCCAAAAGAATAATAATGAAAAGTAGCATTTAATTTTTGTCCTTAAATATTTTTCTAGAAGTCATCCAACTGTATCTAGTCAACGTCTATGGTCATTTTGGCTTGAAATTGAATTTTTGAAATCTTGGAGACCACTATATATATGAAAGTTCAACCGACCAAACCCCTAACTAGCAAACCATTTTGTTCAAAGGAAGTGGCAGCCATGGACGTCAAAAGCTCATCTTGCAAAAGAAGAAGAATCTATCATGTCCCGAGAATGAGGATTATGGATCTTCCATTGGTGATTTTGATCGAAATTCTTCCAAGATTGTCAATTAAGCCCATTTTTCGATGTAAGACTGTGTGTAAACATTGGTACAATCTTTTATCTTACGATCCTTTATTTGTTAACATGTATCAAACAAGATCCCTCAAATTCCCCTGCATTTATCTTTTTGATGGTGTGGACAATCCTTCGCTTCTAGAACTCAAGGTAGAATATAATTATTATGCTCGCCATTGTAACAAACCCATTCAATTAACCCCTAAGTTTCACAACCCTCCAGGGAGTTTGTTTTTAGTTGGTTTGTGTAATGGATTCACTTGTTTCATGAATGGTCCGATGCATATTGAGAAACATTTTGTTTATATTAGTAATCCTCTTTTGGGTGAATATTTCGAAGTTAAATTTCCTGAATGGGAGATTAGTGTTTGTCGTGTTACTTATGGATTTTGCTTTAGCAAAGCATCTGGAAAGTATAATGTATTGAGATTTGTAGTTAGAAAGCTTACTAAAGTATCGGAATTGGAGGTTTATACTCTTGGAGTTTGTGAGAAATGGAGAAATGTGGGTGAAATTTCGTGTCCCGTATGGTATAAATTTGACAAGGCTAAAAGCAATGGTGCTCTTGATTGGATGGATAGCGAAAAAATGACATCATTTACTCCTTTGATATTGAGACAGAAAAGGTCAAGTCCCTGCCAGCTCTACCGGGACTGGTAAATCCACCCTGGAACTTGAAGCTAGTAGAGTTGGGCAATTATTTATGTTTGACTGATTATTACAAAACATTAACCACTAATATTGATATCTGGTGGATGAAAGAGTATGAGGTTTCTGAATCCTGGACTAAAGAAATCATTTTGGTGGATTCTGTTCCGCGTGGTATGGTTCACATTAATTTTGAACCGATACTTATGTGGAAAGATAGAGAAATCTTAATTCAAAGTGGCAGAAAGCTAGCTTCGTACAACCCAACAATGAAGAGTTTTAAGGTGGTTTATGTTTACGGTAAGGTCAATACATCGATCACATACACTCCAAGCTTTTACTCGCTCAAGACTATCATGGGGGACGACTTTCATCTCAAAAATGTTTATCCGAAAACTCAGATAGTTTAGAGTAGTTGTTTTATCTTATTTTCTCCGGAATATGATGTTTTGCTTTTGTGCTTCTGATATAAAACTTTTACTACTTTATGGATGCTTTTGAATTCTGGATAGAGAAATCTTAAAAGCTAATTACTATTTTGTATTAGGAATACTTGATGAAATTGATTGTTTTTGGAATTAGATGGCTTAAGTTTTTCTTCTATGTTGTTAATTGTTAACATTAAGATAACTAGTATACCTACCCGTGCGATGCACGAATAATATTTAAAACATTTATTATTTCAAATTGTGAGTGTGTTTGCACTGGAAAATGAACCATTTATTGAACCTGAGCTCCATTAAAAAAGTAGACTTTCCATTTTCTTTATAATTGCTAATTACAACTTTTAATGGATATTTGCGTTAATAGTTTATACATCATCAACATATAGTACTTCAACTCTTTTTCCTTTTATTTTCTAGTGAACCAACATAACTACGACATTTATGTTATAAAGGTTATGGGGAAATTATATATCATCCGTCAATGAATCAATCTTTAAATACGAAGAGGATTATAACCAAAAAAATGAAATCTAAAAAATTCTCAAATCAAACATAAATGTTATTTATGTCCAACTTTATATAAAGATATTTCACTTGCAATTCATTTTAGAATTCATTAAATATATACCAAGTTACTCTCTTGCCTTTATTTAGTCCATGGCAATCAAATTCTGTTATGTCCAACTTTATATAAAGATAATTCACTCACATTTCATTTTAGACTTCGTAAATATAAACCAAGTTACTCACTTGCCTTTATATAGTCCATGTCAATCAGATTCTGTTATGTCCAACTTTATACAAAGATCATTCACTCGCGTTTCATTTTAGACTTCGTAAATATATACCAAGTTTCTCACTTGCCTTTATATAGTCAATGGAAATCTGATTTTATTAATCTTCTCACGAAATCTTGGAGCTCACTATATAAATGAAAGTCTAGCTAACCAAAACCATCAAAACTAGCAAACCTTTTTGTTCAAAAGAAGTGACAGCCATGGACATCAAAAGCTCATTTTGTGAAGAAAGAAGAGTCTATCATGTCACGAGGATTATGCATCTTTCATGGGTGATTATAGTCAATATTCTTTCAAGATTGTCAATTAAGCTAATTTTTCTATGTACGACTGTTTGTAAACTCTGGTATATTCTTTTAACTTCCGACCCTTTATTTGTTAACATGTATCAAACAAGATCCCTTAATTTTCCATGTGTTTTTCTTTTGGATGGTCAGTCCAATCTTTTACTTCTAGAACTCAAAGAAGAGTATGATTATTATGCCCGTCGTTGTCACAGACCCATTCATTTGACCCCTAAGTTTCACTTCCCTCCAGGGAGAGTGATTTTAGTTGGTTCGTGTAAGGGATTTATTTTCTTTCTGAATGGTGCGGCTTATATTGAGAAACATTTTGTTTACATTGAAAGTCAATAGGGGGTGAATTAAAATTCTTCTAGTCGACTCACCTGCAGGTTAGTATCACATTATAAAAAAAGCTAATGACAGTAAGTAAAAAGACACACAATATTTTATACTGGTTCGGAACACCGGTGTGGTGCCTACGTCCAGTCCCCTTGGGTTTCAAGGGTTTCCTTAAGATTAATTTAGAACTTGAAGTATTACACGGTGTTTCACTAAGTTCTCAGTCCGATATGCAAATCAGACCTTTCTAATTTGCCGCAACCTCTACCTCTATAACCTATACTGAAATCTTTCCTTTTCTTTTCTTTTTCAATTGTATATTCTCAAGAATACAAAGCTTTTATGAAAGATAATAGAATACAATCATACAAGTTCAACAGAAGTTTCGTAATCTTCTAAGACACTAAGACTAGCTTTATATAGGTGAGGTTTCTTTGCTCTTCTTTAAGGAAAACCCAAGGGAGTTTCAATCAATCAAGGATTTGATAGGGATTCCTTGATTGAGGCAGATTTGGGAGCTAAGTGATCATGTCTATATTAGATATGTTCATGATATCATTCTCTCCTCTACTGAGGTAATCTTCCTTGATTGCGTGATGTCCTTCCTTATCAGGTAAGATCCTTCTTTGATTGCTTGATATACCGTGAGTTTACGATATTTCTAATACATTTCACTTACAAGTTGTGTGTGTCTAGGGCCTTTTTATATTGGTTTTTATGTATTTTTATCATGTTTTGCAGGAAAGGTGTTCAGGCGCGGAAATTTAGAGACAACTGAAGGAAATGCAGAAAAAGGGCATCCACGGAGGTGATCTACGGACCGTAGGTCCATTCACGGTCTGTAGGTTATGACCGTAGATCAGCAGGCATGGTATTGAGGACAAATCAGGGAAATCTGACTAAGTGTGAAACCACGGTGCCCATTGACGGTCCGTAGATTGATCTACGGACCGTACTGTTGATCCGTAGAGTGATACTGCGAGGGTTCCAGTACCTGATTTTTGAAGATTCTAAGTATGGAGCTACGGAGGCGATTGACGGATCGTAGATCGATCTACGGTCCGTACTGCTGGTCCGTGGTCTGCTTCAGAGAAGCTGATTTTTGGAAGCTGAAATATTTTCTAAGTCCCGATTGACGGAAGGGACTTACAGACCGTAGATCCATCAACGGTCTGTAAGTCAGTCTCGTGGATTGAAGACGCGTACCTGAACAAAACTTTCCGTAATTTGTTTACTTTTTTATTTAGGATTTTTTTTCTATAAATAGGACATGTAAACCTCATTTTTGGGGGTTAGACACTATTATTCTAGTTTTACTTTGTAACTTTGGAGATTAATTTGCAACTCTAGAAATTATTGATTTAACAAGTTCGTTTTGAAGATTTTGGCTTTGCAATTCAAGTTAAATTTCTGGGTTTATCATTCTCTTTATGTAAGTTCATGATTTCTTCATCTACAATTATGAGTTGTGTTCTTGCCAACATGAGTAACTAAACCCACAACTAGGGTTGTGGGAACCATGATCGATTAACAAAGTATGAATAGTAAATAAGTAATTCTTGAATAGTGTGTTGCATGTATTGATAATTCTTTCGTTTAGAAGTCTTTTTAACGGTGGCCAACGTTAGAACTTGCCTTGTTGCTACTTGCCGGACCAAGGAGGTAATTAACAAGAAAATAATTATCAACATAGATTTAGTGTGATACTATCTAATAGGCTAGTGTCGATTGGTGCGAAGTAATAACTAGGCCAAACATCGATTATGATGTCTAATATGAGGTAAAGGTAAGGGTTAGTAAATTATACACACGTAGCCAGACCAAGGTGCGGGGTGAAATTCTCTAGATGCCGGACCAAGGATTTAGAGATACCTAACTTATCACTTTGCATGTAATACACTAGAAAAGGATTGCTATTACTAGGATTACTGCGTTATGAGATTGTGGGGAACACGTATACCCTAGTTATTTCTCTTATCTTGATAACAACCAAAGTTCAGTTTGATTATTGATTACTTATTAAGTTCTTACTATTTGTTTCACACAAGCACAACCCCCCTTTTATTACCTATTTCTGGAAATAATATGACTAATTGAATATAATTGTTAGTTTAAGTAAAGTCTAAACCATTTTTCTCGTGGGATCGATCCCAACCTGCAAGTTGGGTTCTTTACTTGATAATGATCGCTTATACTTCTATAAGGAGGTGTAATTTGAGCGTATCAAATTTTGGCGCCGCTGCCGGGGAATTCTGGCTTTTAGATTTATTTTTAACTACATTATTGATTGTTAGTCAAATATTTCCTAATTTTACTTTTTTTCTTTGTTTTTGTCTCTCTCAGGTTCCGACTCTAGTGTATGCCAAGTACACGAAGCCTAGGCGAACCACTTACTCCGTACGATCCAGAGTTGAACAGAACTTTGCGAAGAATGAACAATCAAGGACTTCCAGTTAATCCTATCGGAGGAAATCTAGATGAAGCAGTTGAGTTACAACAGCCAAGAGTAGTTGGTGGGGAAAATTGGGGTCTAGCTGAAAATCAATTGGGAGATGCAGTGAGAGTGCATGGTCGACCAGGCCCACAAAAACATGACAACTATCGGGGCAACATCGACATAGCAGACTCTGATGGGCCCATTGTCCTACCTCCTCTACCCCCAGGGCACACGTTTGTGGTGACTAGTAGTTTGATGCAGATGCTTACAGCAAGAGGCTTATTTTCAAGATCGCCATCGGAGGATCCACATGCTCACTTGGCCAAGCTAAGGGTGGTTTGCAAAAGTTGTGTAGGCAGACCAGACTTGGATATGAATGTCATTGGATTACGAGTGTTCCCTCTGTCACTGACAGGCGATGCTGCTGTATGGTTCACTGAGCTTCCGTATTACTCAATATTCACATGGGACCAACTGGCAGAAGTGTTTAAAGCAAAGTACTATCCAGTGTCTAAGAAGCTCAATCACAAAGATAGGTTTAACAATTTTGTGGCATTACTTGGAGAGTCTGTGAGTAGCTCGTGGGACAGATTCACTGCTTTTGTAAGAAGTGTCCCAAACCACCGTATTGACGATGAGTCACTGAAGGAATATTTATATCGAGGACAAGATGATAACAATAAAGAAGTACTTGACACTATTGCTGGAG